GGGGGGAGGGGGGGAGGGAAGGGGTAGGAAGCCACCAACCAGGTATGTGTGAGGAGGTCTTAAGGGACAAAGGACCCCTGGATGGCCCAATGCCCCCCCAGGGGTACAGGGCATGCTTTGAATCTGCCAATCACTCGAGGCCCCTGTGGAATTGCAGGATTGAGAGACAGTCCTTGGCAGGGGTCAGGGTGGGGAAAGGAAGGATGATTGACACACCTGGCAGGGAATCTTCAGGGGACGGACCCGGGTTTCTGAGGTAAACCTTGAAATCACACTGCAACATCTCCCCCTTGTTTAAGATTAAGAGGACTGTGTTTGGGGGGCAGAATGCTTGCCAAAATACAGCTGGTAAATTGGTTCCTCCTCTTCAGGAGTGTCAGTGTTTTCCACTGAGGCTTCCATGTCATCCATTGGAGCACTAGGGGCTTCCAAATGGTAGACTTCAGGAGGGGAAGATGAGCTTGAAATTAGCTTCTTGTAAACCATGAGATTGATTAGCCCAATAACAATGGTAACAACTACAATAAGAATAACTAGAATAAACAGTACTAAAAACACAGTTTTCAGAATAGATCCTAACCAGCCTGAGAATCTTGAGCCCTTGAACAGTCCATTCAGCCAGTTGTCTGTTTCTCTCTTGATGTTGTTCACCACAGTTTTCGTTTTGTTGATCGTGGCATGGACATTCTCTACTTTCGATGACAAGTTTGTTGCCCGATAGATGAAGGACACAAAACTCAGATAAGTTTTGTGCAGTGCTTTATTTAAGGGCCCGGGAGCTTGTGGACTAGCGTCTCAAGTCAGAGCTCCAAACTTCACGTACAGGTGCTTCTCTTTTATATGATTTGCATACATGCGATTCACAACAAGGTCTCTAAGACACAGTTCCCCTTGCTTAGCGACAGACTCTTTGTGATACATTCGTTAGTTCACAAACAAAATCATAAATCTTCTGCTTATCTTATTGCATGCTGCCTCTAGACAGGTTAGCATTCTTACTTTCTTACACTGGTTTAAATATTTATTAAGTTCCTAAGACTACTTGCTAAGTTACACATAAAACCTAACACATACTATCAACGGCTACAAAACTGTTTTTAACAAACTAATTCATACACAACTCATAACTAAACTGTAATTAAACATTTTGCTAAATTTAATTTCTTTTTTTTAAAAAGTTGAGGCAGCAGAGACCTTCAAATTCTTCACAGCGATGGTTGTGCAGGAGGAGCAGGTAGTCTCTGGCTTCCCTGGTTTGAATGGTGGCTTGCCTGGTAATTTCCTTGTCTGATAGGAGGTCACTTATGGCAGTAGAAGTGAGTTTTGCCTGTTTTGCAACCCAACATTCTAATCAGCCTAATTCTCCCATGCTTTTTGCTGCCAAGATCCATGGCAGAATCCATGTAATTGCGGTGGCCTTAAATCTGGACCAGTGAACAATTTCCGAATTACAGTCTGGGTCTAATTGTCTTAAGTACCTTTTTTGGATAGCCAGTTAATGTGTATTGTTTTTATTTGCCAATGCATTAAATTTGTTTGATCTGGGCTAAACAGGCTCAGCTTACCAAAGGTGCGTGGACCTCCGAACAGACAAGGAGGGAGACCTGCCCATGCTCTGTCTCCACATATAAAAACAGTTAATTTAAAATACTTTTTTTTCCAAAACAATTCACCAAAAGTCGAAAGTAATTTTCATATAATCACAGAAGAAAATTGAAGATTATTTCAAAACACATACTCTCATTTATAGTTGCCTTGTGTCAATAGTCTTGGAGATGTCCACAGTAAAAAGGACATCAGCCAAGTTGTGTGCATTAATTACAGCCGTCAATTTTGTTAACTGTTTCATCATTCTCCAATTCATAATGAATAAGATTGCTGATTAAAAAACCCCAATCAAAATGATGGGATGACATTTTGTTCAGGACACTTGTTGCAGTAGGTGACCACCCGAAAAGAGTATCCCACCACCTGTGTTCAGTGTCTTTTCTTACTTTCTCTATGACATGGTGTACTTCTTACACATTGTGATGAACAGTTAACAGGGCTTTCTGTCCATTCTTCTTGATCTTCTCCAATATTTCGATGAAGTCCTGATGAAGCAACAATTGCTTTACCAAAGTAATGCTCATCCCAATGGGAGTAGGTAAATGTCCTGGTTTAGGGAAAATTTGGGAGAAAACCTCCAAAAGGGGGCCCCTCCAGAAAGCAAACCCACACAGCTCCTTCCCCCAACCGGGTCGGGAAGGATTCCTCGGACAGAACTGGAAAGAACCTGTTTATTAACAGGCACAGCACCCCTCAGCACACAAAAGGAACAATACCAGATGACACCACTCTTTCACCACTCTGAAAAAGATGACAACTTCAGAAAGTCTCTCTTGGGGGTGGTCGCTCTGTTCTCAGTCCCTCCGGTGCTGGGGTAGCTGCTGCAGCCACAAGGTGCAAACTCTCGGTCCCAGTCCGGAGCAGGTTCGAGTAGGTCCAAAAAAGGGAAAGGAGAAACAGTCCAGGGAAAAATTGGATTGCTTAGCTAAACTAACTAATGAGCAGAAGCAAAAAAGAGCAAAGCAGGAGCAAAGCAGAAGCAAGAGCAAAGCGAAAAGTAAAAGCAGCACCATGTACTGCCCTGTCTCTCTGTCCTGCCAGCTGTTGGAGAGCGGTTGATAACAAAACCAAAACAAAACATTCACTCTTCAGAGCCAGTCTTGAAGGCACAGAACACGATATCCAGCATAAACAGAGCAAATGGATGGGGATACAAGCATCATAATGTCATTCTTAGGACATTCCACCCCTTATCCCCATATCATCAACATACTACCATACATCAGACATTTTATTCACATAAAAGTTCCATCTGTTTCATCCAAAATTACAAGCAATACCCATCATGCCCTCATCACATCCCCACACTTTACCACTGAATCGAGGCCCTGTGCTACAGAGCTGCAGAATTCCCCACTTTCACTTTACTCACTCAAAACCCCATCTTTCACTTGCTCACACCTTTGACACTTACTCATTTCCTTCTATCTCATGTCTGTATGGTTTAATGTACAGGCAATGGCAGTAACATCCAACAAACAGTGATATTTGCATATCATTCTCACCCCACAATCACATCTCCCTGAGGTACACATCGTGTTGTTCCATCTCTGCATTATCCACATTGTGGAACCTGGTCCTTGAGCAAAGACAACCCCACAAATGGGTTTGTCTGTACTCGAGGTGGAATTGATCCACACGGTCGTCCCTAACAAACCTCTGACATGTACCACTGGGACTTTATCTCCATCTGTTATATTCAGGGACTCAGACTGGGCAGGACCTGCTTGGTTGGTGGAACCTTGGCTGTTAACTAACCAGGTGGCCTTTGCTAAATGCTGCTTCCAATTTTTGAAAGATCCCCCACCCAAGGCTTTCAACTGGGTTTTTAGTAGTCCATTGTACCTCTCCACTTTGCCTGCAGCTGGTGCATGGTAGGGAATATGGTACACCCACTCAATGCCATGTTCCCTAGCTCAGGTGTTGATAAGGCTGTTCTTGAAATGAGTCCAATTGTCTGACTCAATCCTCTTAGGGATACCATGCCTCCAAAGGACCTGCTTTTCCAGGCCCAGGATGGTATTCCGGGCACTAGCATGAGACACAGGGTAGGTTTCCAACCATCCTGTGCTAGCTTCTACCATTGTGAGCACCTAGTGCTTGCCTTGGCTTGTCTGGGACAGTGTGATGTAGTCAATCTGCCAGGCCTCCCCATACTTGTACTTGGACCACTGCCCACCGTACCACAGACGCTTCACTCGCTTGGCCTGTTCGATGGCAGCACATGTCTGACAGTCATGGATAACCTGTGAAAAACTGTCCATGGTTAGATCCACCCCTCCGTCTCATGCCCACTTATAGGTGGCATCCCTGCCCTGATGGCCTGAGGCATCATGGGCCCATTGAGCTAGCGATATCTCTCCCTCGTGTTCCCAGTCTAGGTCTATCTTGAACGCCCCTGTCTTTGCAGCCTGGTCTACCTGCTCATTGTTTTGGTGCTTCTCATTACCTCTACTCTTGGGAACATGGGCACCTACATGGCAGACCTTCACAGGCAGCCTCCCTATGCTGGTAGCTATTGGAATAAGATCCCAATATTACCAGGTAGATTGTGCCTGGGCTCGTCTGACCCTTGCTGCTGGGCCAAAGGCGCCAACTGTGGTGTTTCACCTCAGAGACACCTTTGGCTGGCTGGGTGTTGCAGCTGGGAACTGAACCAGTCCAGGCTTGTAGAAACTCAGTTTACCTCAGGTGGAAGGGCTTCAGGCTAAGGTGAAGAGGAAGCCCATGGGTTTGCTCCCGTACTCACTGTAGGGAGTGCATGTTGTCGGCAATTTGGGCATGTGTCCACAATCACTTTCAACACATGTGAAGGTCCGCCCGAAATGAACGGGTGACAAATGATTTTTGGGTGCAAAAATAACCAACAAAGGCACAAGGGTTTTGCAGTAACAAATCAACAAGATGCAATTTATTGATGATAACTACAGCTAAATATGCGTTAGGTTAGAGGATCCGGGGAAGAGAAGGGTAGGACAAGGGAAAAAGGGAGGAAAGAACGTTAGGGAATGGGGTATAGCTACCAAGACGTGATGTCTTCGGGGTCCTGCCGCCGATGCTCGCTGGTACACGTCTTTGGGAGATCTCAGAGAGGCAGTCGAACCAAACCCCAGATATACTGTTCTTGGTTGGGGGAAGGGTGGCCAAAATTAGGTTTCCATGGAGGGGAAAAGTCCATTGTTTTCATGGCCAAATGCTCGCAGGTACGTTTACTCTGGGCAGGTTCTCCCCCTTCCCTGAGTTGGGAGGGGGTACAGTCCCAGTCTCTGGAAGGAGGTGGCCAGGGGGCTGCCATGGGGGTGCCAATAGGGTGCCAGTAGGGTGCCAGAGGGGTTCTTGGTTCTTTGATGAGGGGATTCGCATCTCAGTTGGTCTGTCACGGTGGTTGAAGACAGGCAAGAGGGGTCTTCTCTTGGAGGGGGGGGAGCCACCCCAGAGCTCAGTCCAGCCAGGCCTGAAGTTTTGGAAGAAAGTCGAGTTCCATTGTTCAGAACAGGGCAGCATGCTCCCTTCGAGTACAGCATGGCATGTTCTGCAGACACCATCTGTAAACACACTAAATACGCATGAGACTTTCTTTCCCAACTGGCTCAACAGTTTTTTAACCCTTCGGTGGTCCTTTTCTCATGACAATTGTGAGGCAAAAAACTGAAGGATTTCTGGATGGACTTCCACAACATGGCCTGTTCTCGAGTGATGTGAAACTGACGAACCAGGCCAGGTGCATTTTGGTGGAAAAGCTGGTGGCTGATTTTTGCCTGTTCAAAACCATTTGGGAGAGTGGCCATCACTGCAGGTGCAGCAAGAGCATCTGCCCTTCTGTTGCCTTCAGCGATAAACCCTGGCAAGGCAGTGTGTGACCTGACATGCATCACATAAAATGGTTGCTCTCGGTGAGTGACTAACTTTACCAGTTTTGAGAGCAATTCGAAAAGTGTGAAATTAGACACTTCTTGCAGTGTTGCTTGATCTGCCCTGGATACTACTCCTGCCACAGATGCAGAATCCATAATCAGATTGAAAGGTTCTGAGAACCTTTCAAAAGCCCTAACACTGCAGTCAATTCAGCAACCTGAGGTGAATCTTCCACCTCAGCAATGTCCGTCTCCCACTGCTAGGTTTGAGGATCCTTCCAAATCATAATGGACTTGTGGGACCTCCCGGATGCATCTGTAAAGACAGTTAGAGCCCTTTTTAAAGGTCTCCTACTCTGAGCACTTCTGAATTTCAGAGTAAATTGAGCATCTTCTTCGAATAATTTGTGCGCAGGCCGCGCTACAGAAATTTGTTCTGAGTAGGAATCCAGAGCAAACTGCAACACTTCATTTTCTTGAAACAATTGTTTCAGTATTTTCATATTATTTTGACCTGATTTTAACTCAATTGGAATGTGAATGCACTTAAAATCACATCCTGCTAACTCCCTGATCTGGGTCCTTGCTTTCCAGGTCAGTTCTGCTACCAGCTCCTGAGGGAGGCTTTGTCAGTCTTTTGGACCTTTTGTGATCGAGGAAAACCCATTCTGTGATCAAGAGAGAGTCCCTCTGGTCCTGGTCCTCTTTTGGTATGCAATTTGCCTTAGGTGCTTGTTTCTCCTCCCACTGGAAAATAATTCCATGGAGGTGTGGCAACTTACCTAGGATGATAAATTTGAATGGCAGGTCAGGCCGACATTGGTTTAGAACCTGAACCTTTTCTAGAGCTTTCCGTGCCTCTGGGGTAATAGACCTAGGAACCTGGGTCCTCTCCCCCTTTCAATAAATCGAAAACAGGGGCAAGGTCTTTGTTAGTCAGACCGAGCCATGGCCTTACCCAATTCAAAGACCCACACAACTTGTGGACATACGCAAGGGTCTTGATCCTTAGATTGATTTCTAGTTTTTGAGGAACAATGGTCCTATTTCCAATTTCTAAGCCCAAATACTTCCAAGGTGGCATCTTTTGAATTTTCTTTTCCTGAAGCTCGAACCCTGCAACAATCAATGCATCGATCGTTAGGTCAAGCGCATGTGTGAGTAAATCATCATTGGAGGCACACACGAGGATATCATCCATATAACGATAGATGATGGCCTTCTCTGCGGCTGCACGCACTGGGGAAAGCAGGGAAGAGACATACCACTGGCAGATAGCTGGCGAGACCTTCAGGCCCTGAAGAAGAACGGTCCAATGGCACCTTTTCATAGGGGCTTCCATGTTGATGGTAGGGACCGAGAATGCAAAATGTGGTGCATCATCAGGGTGCAGAGCATTTTGGAAAAAAGAATCTTTTACATCAATAACAGCTAATTTCAATGTTGGGGAAGCATTGTTTGGGATGGCATACCAGGTTGGGGAGAGCCCATATCTTCAATTACATTAATAATTTGTCAGAGGTCGTGGAGGAGCCGCCATCTCTTTTTGTCAGCTTTTTGGATGACAAACACTGGGGAGTTCCACGGGGACATGGTCTCCACAATGTGACCCTTTTTTAGTTGCTCTTCCACTAGTTCCTCAAGCACCTTTATTTTTTGTTTACTGAGCGGCCACTGTTTCACGTCAACTGGTTTGTCTGTTTTCCACTTCAGTTTTTGGGTGGGGCGCTGTTGTTCAATGACCGCTGTACAAAAATGCTGTGAAGAGTCTGGAATATCAGTTGTGACACCCCACTGGGCCATTAAATCTCTCCGTAACAAGGGTTCTGAATAATCTAACACAAATGACGGATATTTGCCAATTGTCCGTTTGGTCTCTCGATTTGAATGATGCTTTTGGATTGTCTTGCCAATTGCAGGCCTCCTACACCTTGAATGTGACTGGCAACGTTTTGCATAGGCGAATGTGCTGGCCAGTCTTGTACTGGAATCACTGTGCAGTCTGCACCTGTGTCTACAAGCATCTCAATGCGTTTTGACTCCCCACCCCCACTGACATTGCACCATAATTTGGGTTTGTCTTTCCCAATAACTTGGACCCTGGCAACTGTGGGCCCTTGTTTTTCAGTACTTTCAGGTAAAAAAGGCAAAGGGATAGCTTGTGCAGCAATTTGTCCCTTGGGAAGAAACGGGGGTGGGTGGAAACAGTGCAGCCTGAGAACAAATTGCTCAGGTTCTGATGTTGTCATTCCTGGAGCAATTTCGATCTCTTGTGGTGTGTGTTTGGTGTCCCCAGTGACAATGTACTTACAACGAGTTTGGTTCCAAGTACCCTTCTGTTCTGGATTGACTGAGACAAAATGCCAGTTAGTGTCTTTCAGGTGGATTGACTCTGTCAGCTGCAACTGGTAAGGCTCATTGACAGAAGACGTGGTTAACATAGGTTCACCTAAATCATAACAAAGATTATTTTGTTTGACTTTTAACAGTGGACCAGCAGACGTGGTCTTTGAAGCATCTGCTTCTCTTACAGAAATATTAATATTATTGCGCGCTTGGTGTGTTTTGCTACCCTTATTCCCTTGGCCTGCTCTTTTTGTGTCTGCACGCCTGGCAGGTTGGTGCTCCCCCTTTAGTATTTTTGTTGCTGTTGACCCCCAGGGAGTGCTTGTAATTCTCCTCCCCTGCCATTTCTAAATTAATCGAATTGCCTTTTCAGAGGGCACTGGTTACTCCAGTGCCCAAGGTTATTGCAAGGCAGGCATGACTTTGTGGGATCAACCATTGCTGGTCTTCGCTGCTGCCCAGGGTACTGCGGTGCTGAGGGAATGGGCGCAGGGCTGGCAATGGTGACGCGCTGAGGGAATCGTGGCAGCAGCTTTGGTCTGGTGTCTTCAGCCACACTCCTCAGAGGCACTTTCCTGTTACATATCTTTTAAAAGCATATCTTTTAGTGTAGGGGGAGGTTCTATAGGAAGGCTCAGAATTGCCGCTCGACACTGTTCATTTGCATTTGTAAATGCCATTTCCTCTAAAACCTCTTCCCTAGCATTCTCTTTTTTAACTTGTATTTCAATGGCTCTAGTTAACCTTTCTACAAATTTCAAAAAAGGCTCTGATGGTAACTGTTTAATTTTGCTATAAGGCTCAAAAGGCCCCTCAGGTTGGAGGGAAAAGAATGCTTTTTCAGCTGCTTCTTTTACTTTTTCGAGTGTTCCTACAGGAATTGTGGTAGCTTGGATTGAGGGTAAAGACCATTGGCCCTCGCCAGAGAGGTGCTCAATGTTAATAGGCATGCCATTATTGTCCTTCGCTGTGTTTGGATCAGCATGCAAGCCTGGGAGAACGTCTTTTAGCAGTTGTTTCCATGCTAATTCCCATATTTTGAATTCCGTGGAGGTAATGAGACATGAAAAAAGCTGTTTTAAATCATGTGGGACTACTACAGTCCTACTCAGTTCAGAATTTAAAAGGCCACAGAAATATGGACTGTGTGGACCATATTCTTTATGAGATTTACAGATCTCTTTAATCAATTGTCATCCAAAAGAGTTCCAATTAGCAGTTGGGGCTGCACCCCCTTGTGCTGCAGGCTGAAACGTAACAGGAGCAAATGACAAGGTGGGACCCTGCATTGGGTCTGAGGTTCCCTGCTCTGTATCCCTTGAATCGGAAGTATTGGGATAACAGATACAGGTTTGGGGACAGGCAGTGGGTGTGTCCCCACCATGGGAATCCGGGGAAGGGGCGGGGATGCAATGGGCACAGGGGGCGGAGACAGGGGGCTGGCAGAGGCAGGGATGCCTGGTGACATCATGTCAGCAGACACCTCCTGGGAGGAGTAGAGAGGTGGAGCTGAGGGTACTGCAGGAAAGGGAGGGGGAGGGGGGAAGGTATCAAGAGGAGCAGGAAGGGAGAGGGATGGGGATGGAATTTTGGGAAGCTTAAGAGGATCTTGGTAAGAAGAAGACCAGGTTTGGGATGATGCCATGTGGCATCCTCCGTCTTGTGGACCCCCTAGGGACTGGGGGCCATTTTGGGCATCACTGCTCTCTGAAAAGCTGACACATGCTCTGGGTTTCAGAGCAGGGGAGACAGGGGTTTGGGAAAGGTTCCACGCAGCTTGGCCAGGACGTTGTGGACAGGGCAACTCAGGCACTTTAACGAACTCTGGGAGTCAACGTCCCAACGAGTGTGCTTTAAAATACCAAGTTTTGGGGTAAGAGGTTTAGGGGTTTTAGAGCTTGGAGAGGGAGAAACAGGGAGAGCAGAGGTACATGGCTTGACATTTGGCTTTTTCTCCAATTCCTTTTGTTTGAGCAAGGCTGTTCAAATCTGTAAACTCCAGAACACAAATTTAGCTGAAGATGTGTTCCCACATTGTCCTAAGGTTATCAGTTCATTCCCTACTTTGTCCCAAAATTGAATATTGTAGATTTCTTCAAGGGAGATTTTTGGGAAGTGTAGAAAAAGCCATCTTATAAACTGTTTCAATTTTCCTTTAGAGGACTTCACATTACCACTGACTAAAATACTAACAATATGATAATACATTCCTTTTTGTACAATGCTGACTTTCGAGCCCATGTTAGATGTAAAAGGCAAAGTACAAAATCCCACCTGACCAAAAACAAAGCCAAAATCAGCTACCGATTTCTAAAAAAACCACAGATAGGAAAGCAGTAATGACCAGACAAAAGCTTTACAATGCAGCTGTATATACTGCTTTTAAAATTGCCAGGCGGCAGCAGCAGGACACGCCCTGCCAAGCTGAGGAGGAGAGCAGCCTCCCCTGCCCAAGAAGGCAGCCCCTCCCAGTGCTGAGAGAGAGCAGCCTCCCCCGCACCACATGGCAAGACGAAACCAGGGCTGGCCCGTGCCACGTGTACAGAGCACCCTCCGGTCACATGGAGAGAGCCCTCCTCCCCTGCAAAGAGAGAGAGCAGACCCCCTGCTCTGAGAGAGCTCCCCCCCCACCGAGAGAGCCGAGCACGCTGCGCTGCCGAGCCGGGGGGAAGGGCAGGGAGAGCATCCCCGCTCCAGCACTGGTGCTGCGAATTCCAAAAGATGGCGAAACATGCTGCAGAGAGCTAAAGCCTAGAACGCAATGGTTTCCTTCTGTGGGGCTGCGCAGCCTAAAAGAGGAGCAAAAAAGGAACAGGACTCACGGCAGAGCCTGTTTTTTGAGCTTCTACTCCACCAAGGAGCAGAGATACTTACCTGAAATGGAAGCTATTGCTGGCCAGGTCCAGCCAGGCAGGTCTCCTCACCAGTATAGGACCCCCCTGGGCCAGGGAGGCTCTCCTATTCTCCTTTGGAAAAATCAGCTTACCAGAAAGGAGCTTCATTTTCCAAAGGTGCCGAACAGTCCACAAAATTTTTTGTGGGTTATTCATAAAGTCTCTGATGAGAGCAATGCAGTCACAGCTCTTCAGCTGGGTGCACGGCTGCCGAAGTCTTTCTGAGGTACTGAGATTCCTTCTTGGGGCTGTAGAGTCACTCTGCCCACGGTTGGGCACCAAAATATTGGAATAAATCCCAATATTACCAGGTAGATTGTGCCTAGGCTCATCTGACCCTTGCTGTTGGGTCAAAGGCAGCAACTGTGGTGTTTCACCTCAGAGACACCTTTGGCTGGCTGGGTGTGGCAGCTGGACACTGAACCAGTCCAGGCTTGTAGAAACTCAGTTTACCTCAGGTGGAAGGCTTCAGGCTAAGGTGAAGAGGAAAAGGAGACGGATTCTGTCGGAGGGTTAATATCCAGAGTTTATTCCACGGTTACAGACATCTGAATCTTGCTAACAGCTCCAACAGAATGCTGAGCACATGGTTCTGGCTCAATTTAAGCCCAGGGACAGGGGGAGGGAAGGGACAGGTGAGCCACCAACCAGGTGGGAGGGGGAGGGCCTCAGGGAACAAGGGACACATAGACAGGCCAATGACCCTGGCCTGAAGAGCATCCTTTGAACTTGACCAAACCACATGAGGCCCTGCTGGAATGTTAAGCCTGATTGACAGAACTCACTCAGCAATGGGGTGAGGGGGAAGGGAGAGAGGTATTGCCACACCTGGGAAGGGACGGGGAAGTTTAAAACAGGAAATTGCAACACACTGCAACAGGTAACAATGTCTTTCCACTCATCAGCAGCCCAAATTGGTTTTCCTCTACACTGCCAGCTGAACTCTTTCCACCTCTCCCGCCATCTCCACAGAGCATTGACTACCATCCATGAGTCAGTGTAGAGGTAGAGCTTTGGCCACTTCTCTCTTTCTGCAATGTCCAGGGCCAGCTGAACAGCTTTGAGTTCTGCAAGTTGACTTGATTCACCTTCTCCTTCAGTAGCTTGTGCATCCTGTCGTGTGGGGCTCCATATGGCTGCTTTCCACTTCCGGTTCATCCCTACCATGTGACAGGAACTCAGTGAAAAGAGCGTAGCATGTTTCCTCTGTGGCAGTTGGTTATATGGAGGAGCTTCTTCAGCCCGTGTCCCTGGTTTCTGTTCTTCATCTGTGACACAAAAATTTTCACCTTCGGGCTGATTTGTAATTATCCCAGGGCGATTCAGTTTACCTATATGGGTGTGCTGGGTGATAGGAGCAATCCACTTGCTCCATGTGGCACATGGTGAATGGAAGGAACCGTGCCTTTGAACATCCACTCCAGCACCGGTAATCGGGGTGCCAGGAGGGGTTGTGCTTCTGTATCAATCACCTCTGAGGTGGCTTGGACTCCTTCATAGGCAGCCAAGATTTCTTTCTCTGTTGGAGTGTAATTGGTTTCAGAGCCTCTGTAGCTTCGACTCCAAAATCCTAGTGGTCAACCCCGAGTCTCCCCAGGCACCTTCTGCCAAAGGCTCCAGGACAAGCCATGGTTCCCAGCTGCAGAGTAGAGCATGTTCTTAACATCTGGTCCCGTCCTGACCAGGCCAAGGGCTACTGCATGAGTTATTTCCTGTTTGATCCGGGCAAAGGCTTGTTGCTGCTCGGGGCCCCACTGGAAATTGTTCTTCTCGTGGGTGACCAGGTAAAGAGGGCTCACGATCTGACTGTACTCAGGAATGTGCATTCTCCAAAAGCCTATGGCACCTAGGAAAGCTTGTGTCTCCTTCTTATTGCTTGGTGGAGACATAGCTGTGATCTTCTTGATGACATCTGTAGGAATCTGACGCTGACATAGCTGTGATCTTCTTGATGACATCTGTAGGAATCTGACGCTGTCCATCTTGCAACTTTACTCCTAGGAACTGAATCTCAGGAGCTGGTCCTTTTACTTTGCTCTTTTAAGCTGGCAAAACCAGCTCCCAGGAGGATTTGGATGATTTTCTCTCTTTTCTCAAACACTTCCGTGGCTGTGTTCCCCCACACAATGATGTCATCAATATACTAGGTGTTCTGGAGCCTTACCCTTTTCCAGTGCAGTCTGGATCAGTCCATGGCAGATGGAGGACTGTGGTTCCACCCCTGGGGCAGTCGGTTCCGGGCATACCGCACTCCCCTCCACATGAAAGCAAACTGAGGCCTGCATTCTGCTGCCAGAGGAATGGAGAAAAATGCATTGGCAATGTCTATAGTGGCGTACCACTTCGCTGCCTTGGACTCCAGCTCATACTGGAGTTCTAAGATGTCTGGCACAGCAGTGCTCAGTGGTGGAGTCACTTAATTCAATGCACAGTCACAGTCCACAGTCCACAATAGTCAATCTCCATTCAATGCACAGTCCACAGTCAACCTCCATTCTTCTTCAGATTTACGCACAGGCCAAATGAGGCTGTTGAAGGGTGAGTGGGTTTTGCTGGCCACCCCTTGGCTCTCCAGCTCTCGGATCATCTTATCGATGGAAACCACAGCATCTCGAGTGGTTCTATACTGTCGACGATGCACTGTGGAGGTGGCAATTTGTACTGTTGCTCTTCTCCCTTCAGAAGTCCTACTGCAGATGGATTTTTGGACACTCCAGGCAAGGTGTTCAATTGCTGGATGCCCTCTGTCACTACAGCTGCTATCTCAAATGCCCACCTGAGTCCCTTTGGGTCTTTGAAAGACCCTCTTTGGAGATAATCTATGCCCAAAATACATGGGGCTTCTGGGCCAGTTACAATAGGATGTTTCTTCCACTCATTTCCAGTCAGGCTCACATCAGCTTCTACCAAAGTGAAATCCTGGGATCCCCCTGTCACACCAGCAATAGAAACAGACTCTGTCCCCACATTAATGTGGGGATTATTGTGCGTTGTGCACCAGTATCTACCAAAGCTTTATATTCTTGTGGTTCTGATGTGCCAGGCCAACAAACCCACACGGTCCAGAAAACACGGCTTTCCCTGGCCTCTACTTGGCCAGAGGCAGGGCCCCTCTAAGCCTGCTTGTCCTTCTTTCCCTTGGACATATGTCTTGCACGTTTCTTCAAGGGGATCGGACATGTCATCATTATCATACCTGGCAGTTCAGCTACGGGCAACTGGAGCTGCTTTCCTTTTGGTGGAACTTCCTCTCCGAACCCTGTCTTCCTTCAATTCATGCATCCGTTGTGCCAGAACAGCAGTAGGTTTTCCATCCCATCTCCTCATGTTTTCTCCACAATCACGCAGGAAGAACCACAGCTCAGCTCATGGGGTGTACCTTCTCTATCCATCTGGGGAACATTTGCCTTGGATACCAGAACCTCTGATCTGTACTGCTGAGATTTGGAGAAGGTCTTTAATCTTCTCTCTGAGCTTCTTATGATTCTCCTCTATCTTGTCCTCTAATTTCTGCAGACGTGTTTCCACCTCTGCAATTCTGGCATGTGTTGGGCCATGTACTGCATCTGTATATGCTCAGAGCTTTTTGCCATATCAAGCACAGTCTCATCCCTCTTCATTATGGCTAAAGCAGAAGCATATTTGTGTGGCCCAAGTCGTACAAGTTTCTGCCACATCACCGACGTGCATGGTACCAAGTCTGGGTTCCTAGTTGTTACATCATCTGAGAAGATAATCTTTGCCACTGCCATTTCTCTCAGGCATTGGATCCCTTGTTCTATGGTCTTCCACTGAGTTTGCTGCATATAAAGATCATTTGCACACAGCTATCTTTGCGCTACACTTTCCAAGACCCGTACCCAGAGATTGTGTGGATTAGCCCCCCTCATCATTTCTTGGTCGCTGACAGGACCATGTGACAAGGATCCCAAATGCCTCCCTTCAGTGCCATCCAGAATTGTAGCCTCACCTGCAGCATCCCAGAGATGGACTAACCAACTAATTATGGATTCATCAGGTTGTCAGGTGTAATCCTTCCTTAGGCCATGAAGGTCCTTCAGGGAAAAGGACTCAATATTGGCTTCTGATCTTGCACCTGGTGCTTTGACTCCTGATTTTATGTCAGGAAGCGTTGAGAGTCCTTATCATCATAATCATCGTCGTCATCATCATCATCATCATCATCATCATCATCATCATCATCCCCTGGTCAATCAATCTTGTCCGTGCACTTTCCACTTCTAGTGCTGGTAGCAACAGCCATTGGTTGAGGCTTATTGTCTGATTTAGCTGCTGGCTTAGGCTCACTATCTAGTTTGGCTGCTGGCTTCAAGCCTGGGCTGTTGGCTGTAGCCTGACTGGGATAGCTGCTGATTTATCTCCCTGCCCCCCGCCTCTGTCTGCTGCCTGACAGTATCTAGCAATGTGTGATAAGCAAAAGCCAGGGCCCAGCTCACTGCAATGATCTTTTCCTCCTTAGGGTCATCCTGGTACTTCTCTTTCATGTATTTCACCACCTCAGCTGGGTTCTGAATTTGTTCATGGGGAAAGTCCTAGACTATTGGGTCAGAGAATTCCTTCAGGATTTGGCTCATATCCTCTCATTTCCCACACCACTCAGGATTTTCCACACCTGGGTCTACTCCTGATTCAGGGGTCTCATCAGCCCATCTAGAAATCTCAGCCCTCATTCTAGAGAAGCTGCAGATTGAATAGCAGGAAGATGGTCTCTTTAACATTCAGGGGAAACTGAACCTTCTCCAATAGCAATGTAACAGATTCAGAGGAGAAGAAGGAAAGCAAAGGCTGAAAAGCCTCATCCCCTGTTCCTCCTCTAACAAACTGAGTGCATAACCATAGCCACGAACCATTCATACCTGGAACAGACCTGAGCATGTTTATAAACTATTACAGCGACCTTGGACGGTCACTGTGGTGAGAGAAGGACGAGAATCTTGTTTCTTGATCAGAAGGCTTGATTTATTGATATAAGATATATAATACATTATAACTATACTAAAAAGAATAAGAAGAGAAGTTGCAGAGAGCTGCTCTGCTAAGAATAGAATAGAAGGAATGAATAACAAAGTTCTGTGTTCAGGGAATCTGTCCCTGAGCTGCTCCTGTGATTGGCCTTTAATGGTACACAAGGAAGATGAGCCAATCACAGGGGCACCTGCTACATTTCACAGCAGCTGATAACAATTGTTTACATTCTTCGTCTGGGGCTCTGCTTCCCAGAAGATGGACAAATGTGAAAGAAAGGATTTCTATGAAAAAATGTCTGCGACAATAAACTTCTTACAAATCATCACCACCAAGCCTAGCAGGATAGCTATTCTGGTCACTGCCCCTCTGCTGTATAAACTACCTATTAGGGACAAGACTAGAGCTATTTCTGGATAAGAAAATAAACCTAGGGACCACAGAGGTATTAAGATCTCAAACAATCCTAGAGACCAGAAATGCATGCAAGCCTTCACCCCAAGAGACATTATGGATTCAAAAAGCATCGCTATTAACTGCTTTATATGAACACAGAGTAATGGCAACCAAAATGCACTCAAAACAGGGTTTTTCCACTCTCTCTCTCACCCCACACATTGGGCGCCAAATTTTGTCCTAGTTTAGGGAA